GTGGCAGAGACGTCGGGGACCCCGGTGCAAGGGCTGAGCCGAGCGGCTGCCCCGGCGCCGTGCTCGGGGCTGAGCGGCGCGGCCGGGACCACGAGACCGGCCATTAACTGGGCCGAGCCAGGCCGGGACCGTGCCCCTCTCGCGGCTGCCGCCGCCCCTGTCCCCCGGGCACCTGCCCTGCCCCTGGCTCCCCGGGGAGCCCCTCACCGCCCTCCGGGCCCCGCTCTGGCCCTCACATCTCCGCTTTGAGGCGCGGGGCAGGATCGGGGCACGGCAGTAAGCAGTGATGATACACCTGAGCCCCCCTTGCCCAGCCCCCGCCCCTGCTACGATGCCCAGGTGCTTCCAGGCAGGGGCTGCCCTGGGTGAGGGGCCCTGGCGCCGGCTGAGCGGCGGGGCAGAGCTCCGTCCTATCGTATCGGCGACGTCCTGTCCGAGGGGACCCGCGTAAAGGCTCCTGCTTTGTGTTCCCGGCAGAAAAGAGACCTAAAGCAGACACGTCGACTTCTTTCTCAGCCTGCGCCGAGAGCCGCGAAGCGAAGGATGACATCCACGTGGAGCTGCAGGGCTCTGAGCTCTGGAAGCGATTCCACGAGATCGGCACCGAAATGATCATCACGAAAGCGGGCAGGTAGGCGGGCGGCAGCTCCGGGCGCGACGGGTCCCGCACGCGGCTCGTGTCCGCCGCCCCCGCTAAGGACTGCTCCGGCCTCCGGCCTCCTTCCTCGGGGCTAAGCAGGGCCCTGCCTCTGCCCCCGCGTTCAACCCCCTCTCCTGCCTTTGGGACGTGGGGGCTCGTTTTACTCAAAAAGGCGATTCTGGTATTGGTAATTGTATACTCGATCTTACCAGTACAGGCCTGGCTGCGGGTGTGCACACTTAACTTCTATCTATCTATCTATCTATCTATCTATCTATCTATCTATCTATCTATCTATCTATCTATCAGCGATTCAGGTATTAGTAATATCGATATATTTATATTTATATCTATAGCTTACTCCCCCGCCCCCCAGTCGATAGAAATTATTAATACCTGAATCAGTAACACGCGGGACGCACCCAGGTACACACACATTCATACGAATGTTATCTATCTATCTAGATATCTATCACCGATTTGGGTATTAGTAATATCTGCATTGTTTTTTTTATGTAGCACTTAAATACATAAGCTATCGATAGATAGATAGAGTCTATCATGGATTGAAGTATTAGTAATATCGATATAAATATTGATATCTGTAGCTCTCTCTTTCCGTATATATAATCTATCGATAGACAGAACGACAGATAGATATTCATATCTGGGTCGATAAAACGCGGGATGTGAACAGGTATACACGCACATTCACGCAAATATGGTCTGTCTGTCTGTCTATAATCGATTCAAGTGTAATATCGATATCGATATTTATCGATGGATGGATAGATAGATAGATACCGATATCCGCATCGATCAAACCGGTGTGGTTACACAGAAGACAGGGCCGGATGGCCTCTTACGAGAGACTCGCTCGCTCAGCTCAGGGCAGGAGCTTTGCTCAGACAGCCTGGTGGTGCCCGGCGCGCCGGTAAAGCCCAGGTCGGGACCAGCCGGGCTGAGGCTCTAACCTAGAACCGGGGCCGCGGATCGTTCTCGAGCCCGCATTGAAATGCAGCGGGATTTTCCCTGCCGTCCCCACCCCCCGCCGGCCCCGCGGGTCCCGTCCAGGCTCCGCTGGAGTGGCCCCGCGCG